CTTTCCCTTGGTTGCACATGTATCTTCTGGTGAACTGGGGGGAAGAAAAGCTTTGTTTTGGGGGTTACTTCTACTTGTAGCACCGCCCGTTTTATGCATTTGGACATACAAATGCACCCCACAGGTGTGTTACTTTACTGTGTGTGTCTGCGTGTTTTAGGTGTGCTACTTCACTGTCCGCGTGTTTATTTGTGTGTATCCGTCACGTGGCGCTCTTCCAGCTGAACGTGGCCTCCGTGATGTTAGTCTCTTGCGTGACATGTCCAGAGCTGGATGCACTTCTCAAGTCGGCTGGTGCCGCAGTGGTGTCAGAGCCCTGGACCAGCGTCTCGGTCGCCCCGCTGCACTGGCTCGCTGGCTCAGGATGGTCTGCTGCTTTACAGGGCAGCATCCCTGGTCAGTAAAGAGGAGCTTCGTGCTGAGACAAGTGGCCTCCAGGCTCCTCAGCAGCGCCGTGTCAGGTCTGGACCGTTTGCTCACTGTAAAACAATCACTGTCGAAGAAGCCGAGGTCATTGTCATTGACGTGGTTCAATCACGGCTTTGTCTCTGCTGGAGGCAGGCCACTGTCCGCCCACATCCCTGGAGAGCCGAGCGCAGCGCCCTGCCAGCAGGCAGTGCCGGGCAGTCCCACAGAGGCACACGGCACGTGTGTCTGTGCTCTAGAACAGGGGCAGGAGAAACCTGTGTACAGAGCGTTTCTGTTCCGACATGCTAACTTCATCGAACCTGTCCCAGAGCTGTGCTGTAGCCATGTGCTCTAAGAGTGACTTTTAAAAAATCATTTATGTAATTGCTGAATTTCACATTTTCACTTGACAGCGACAAACGGCCATTCAGAATGCTTACGACTATTGATAGGAAACGCAGAGCCACAGAACGCGGTAGACATTCCGGACGGCAGTGGGCAGTAAGTGGCAACCATTTGTGCGTGACTGGAGGGTTCGTTTACTTGCTTTCTTTTGCTCTTTATTTAGTAACCGTCATAGTATGTAACCGCGTAACATCAAACGTGCCTGTTTTGTTCTGTTTTGTTTTTTTAATATAAATATGCTTTAATTAAAGTTGAGTCACAGAAAGGTATATTTAGAAATCAGGCCATCCTGGGACCAGCAGTTAGTGTAATGGCTATATCTCTGGCTCCCACGTGGTTTGAGTCCCGGACCTGGTGGCTTAAACTCATGCCGGCTGTGTGTGTGTGTGTGTGTGTGTGCATGCCCAAGATCCCGAGCGGAGAATGGAGGAGAAGGGATTGTGGTATGTCCGTACCCCCTGGGAGGTGATTTCTTGCTTTCTGTCTCTCAGTCTTTCTGGCAAGCACACACATGCCCTATGGCAAAAACTACTCTTAAAAAAAAAGAAATCAGGCCATCACATTATTGCCCTTTTAGTCCGAGTACAGCCTCACGTGTAGCACTGAACCTAATTCTGTTGTCACTCAGGACGCCTCTGATGCTGTCTGTCCTCAACGGGCACACGGACTGTGTGTACTCACTGCTGAACAAAGGAGCCGGCGTGGACGCCAGAGACGCGCGGGGCAGGACGGCGCTGCACCGGGGGGTAGGCACACGCCTGTTCCTCTCAGGGAGCTTCCGAGGCCTCGTGCCCCAAGGACTGGAGTGGGCTGTGTTTATTTTTCTTCATAAACGTCTGACCACATTTTCCCTGTTTCTTTCAATGTATTCATTTTTGAGTGCTAATTTTGAACAGTCACAAAGTACAGCTTAATCTGAAGAATTCTAGTTCTTGAATTAAATGTCAGTTTGACTCTTTTATTATCTTAACTGTTATATATCTTTATCTTAACCTTTACACCTTTAAAATATTTTCATTTATTTACAAGTGTCTTGTTCCTCTTTTCATACACTTGTATTTTGATAAAGCTGCTGTTTTAACTTGATTCTTAAATATTTAATACAAATACTCAGAAAACTATAAGTGGCCTTAATTGGCGGAAGGCTGAGGAGTGTGGATTTGAAATTCTTAGCTAGCTAATGTCGCACGTAGCGCTCACCACGATGCACCCAGCCCTGTCGTACTCTCTTTCAGGCAGTGACGGGCCATGAGGAGTGTGTGGATGCGTTACTCCAACACGGTGCTAAGTGCTTGCTTCGGGACAGCAGGGGCCGAACTCCCGTGCACTTGTCGGCTGCCTGCGGGCACATCGGCGTCCTCGGAGCCCTTCTGCAGTCGGCCGCGTCTGTGGACGCGACCCCAGCCACAGCAGACAGCCATGGGTACACGGCGCTGCACTGGGCTTGCTACAACGGTTAAGTATACGGACACGGCTGGGGGCCGGGGCTGGGGCGCAGGGCAGACGTGGAGGTTAGTGAGAGGCCGGGGTGGCACGCCCGTGCCAGGACACTACTGTGCAAGGTGTTGGAGATGAGACATCAAGTTTTTTGAGGTTTTTCTTAGATCCTTAGCAAACACCTGAATTTTAGAGAGGTTTCCTGTACTTCCTGACTGCGCTCGCACCAGG